TCGACGGTGTAGTCGACGGAGCCTTGAAGGATATTGCGACGTGCAGACTGGTAACGAGGATGCCCGCGGCCGACGTGGGTCCGCGCCGCGCCAGCCCCGCGCTCGCGCTGTCCCGCTCCACGTCCCAAAGTAATTGTGCGGCACGTAGCCCTCTAGCCGCGGGTAAGTTGCGGCGCGCCGCAGCAGCCGTCGCGTCGCCTTCGCCCAGCACCTCCAAACTGCTCGTTCTCCACGATGCTCAGCTCGTCGTCGTTCTGCGCACTTTCGCAACACCACAAACGCACACCTCGCCTTACGATTTACGATTCACCGCTGGTCGTTACTGCCGGACTTGGGTGGTGACACAAAGAGATTGTCACACTTATACACTCTAAGCATGCAATGCAGTTGCACCTGGTTCTGAATGAAGCGGTCGTTACTGCGACTTGGGGGATGACACAAAGAGTTGTCAAACTTACTCACACTAGCTGCAATGCAAGTTGAGGTTTCTTGAAATTGAAGCTTGGTCGTACTGCGATTGGGTGGTGACACAAAGGATTGTCAACTTATCACACTAGATTGCAATTGCAGTTGAGGTTCTGAAAAAATGAAGCTTGGTCGTTCACTGCGCACTTGGCGTGGAGACACAAGATATTGCACGTATACCACTAAGCATGCAATTGCAAGTTGAGGTCTGAAAATGAAGCTGAGATGGTCGTTTTACTGCGACTTGGGTGCGATGCAAAGAGATTGTGTCAACTTTTACACACTAAGCATGCATGACGTGAGAGTTCTGGAAAATTGAGGTGGTCGTCTACTGTCGACTTGGTGGATGACCAAGAGTTGTCAACTTACACACTAAGCATGCAATGGCAAGTTGAGGCGTTCTTGAATGAAAGCTGGTCGTCTACTGCGACGTTGGGCTGGATGACACAAAGAGATTGTCAACTATACACACTAAGCATGCAATGCACGTTGAGGTTCTGAAAATGAACACAGGGTCATTCTCCGACCAGAAATATATTTTATTGAAAAAAATCTATACTACTTCGGAAAAATATACACTATACAGACAGAAAAATATAAAATATAAATACATCAATGCTTACAATTTATGAGGGCACATGACACGATATCTTCATACAAATCGTAAAAATTATACCGAAAGCTACCTGGCCGTATGAACTTCATCGCCCACATTAGTACGGCATTCGCTTTAGATATTTTAAGGGAATTATGGTTTAATCACGAGTAGCTCGAGTGAATACTAAATGAAACTTTCCAAGACTTAGCACAGGGCACGCAATTTTCTTTAACTGAGGTTCGCTCCACTATGTTCAATATTACATTCGTAAATAAAAACCTTTATTGCCAAACCAAGAAATTGTCTTGAAATACTGTGTAAGCGCTTCAAGAGCAGACGGCAGAGCGCATCTCATTCTTTCGTTGCGATTTATGTGTTGTGCGCCTGGTGGTTGTGTCAGTCAGTAATGAAACGAGCCGCGTCTCCACGCCTCCGTGGCTTCGTCCCCGAGTTCCATCTGTAGTGAGAAAGAAGCCTTTGTAGGAAATATTTTATGGACTTTTTCGACTCGAGTATCCCCTCCAAAAATTATCATTCGTCGCCCACAGGGCTGACAGAGAGCCCCCTTCTTTAGGAGTGCATGCGGCGCCTGCACCGCCCCTCCATCCTTCCCCGCCCACTTGTCGCCAGAGGTCTTGTAGAGAGCGACTTACGGCGCCAGGCGCATTGGACCGCGAGCCCGGACTCCGTGGAAGACCCCCGCGCCGTTGTGGAACCGTCTCAGGATGACAGCTCATCGCGCGCTGCAAATAGTCGTGGAAATGCTACTAAAATGCTCGGAGCTGGCCTACTTCTGTCCCTTGGGCCCAGTAACGACGCGAAGAAAGAACCCTTTCAATAGGCCCAGGGAAACGCGCCCGGAACCACGGCCCCTCCAGCCGCCCACAACCCACGAGGACGCACCGAGGGAGTCGCAGCCCGTTACGCCTTACAGCAGTAACAGCAGTTAAAAGATATCCGACCAAAGCGCGAACGTTAACCCACCCGAGTCCGAGATTCTGAGAAAAATCTAACCAAGGCAGAATCATTCGACCAATCACACGAGAAAGTTGAAGGAAGCCACGAGAAGCGTGACATAGGCGTCAGCGAATGGGGCACTTCGCGCCGCTGCGAGTCCCGCGTCTCAACATTATCACGGACGGATTGGGAGAGAAGTGAACTGAGATCGAGATTTTGTGTGGCAGACAGGCTACGAGGGAGGAGAGCCTCAAAGGGAGCGACACGTAGCTAACGGACTCGACACTGGATACTCAACAGACGTCACCGAAGACTGAACGTATTTCACTTCCAACAGTCAACTGACTTGTAAAACTTGACTTGAAGACTGCCATGCGACAGCAGATGCGACGCTGATACGACTGCAAACTTATAACTTTATTACGTACGGCGTTTCATCAATTATGCAAGTAAGAATGACAACAAATCTCACCGGACCAAAAGTCGCGAGTGAAGTCTTCAAATACAGACATGCAGTAAAAAGTGTTGATTATCACGCGAGCTCTGTCGCCGCCCAGAGGAGACGTGAGCGCGACGAGCTTGCATCACGGCGCCCCCGCGCTTGCGAGGACCAGTCTGGCAACCGCCACCTTCTCAAAGGACCGCCACCGCCGAGGCCGGGCCGCCCAGCCGCCGTCCCGAACCCCTTGTTTCCCAGCGGTACCCAATAGCCGCCATTCAACGGCCTCCCCTTCACACGATCCGCAGCAGAGCGATTTCCGCGATTTCCCGAGTCCTAATGGCAGCTGAGTCACGAGACTTCGAAGTAAAACCACTTCATTGTAAAGAAAACCTGTGAGTGAGGAAGGGTAATTTGTCAAGTGCGGATTTGAAAACTGAAGACTAGCGAAGAGAACTGTATCATTACTTCAAGGAGAAGAAGAATCCTTTAATGTATGACCAATTCATATTATTCATTTCTTTAAAACTTACGTGTATCTTTCATGTAGGAAGATGTTGAGAATGAAATCATGTGTATTGTGTCACAATAATTAATCACCTAGTAATAAATAAAGTGGAGTCCCATCTGGAACCACGTTGTTCAAACAAATGCATTTCATGCTACTCAATAACCAGAAAGCATATCTGAATCTGAACTTAATTCTGCCAATTTAATCCAGATGAGGGAGATACAACCTATAGAACTCTTTTATCTCTACCGGGAGTGACCCAATCAAAAGATCTTCCGATGCTGCTGGAGATCGGCTAAGTAAGTTGGCAGGTAAGTTGGTGGTCAGTGGTGACATCTGCTTGCACATTTAGCCCGACGTCCAACCCCGGCTGGGCGTTCCAGAGGAAGATCGTTACAGCAATATCATTTCCTTTGATCGGTAAGGCATATTATTACATGTATTTTGAAAAGATAATGTCCATTTGTGGTGCAACGAAAATAATTTCATAAATTTATTCGATCTCCTTCGTGAAGTGAATAGGCAATGAAGGACATTGAAATGGCATTAAGTATCTCATGTAGTTTCCGCAATCCAAGTGTCTTAATAGCAGATCAGCTGCAATATCATGAACAACGTCCTTGTCACAGGACGTCCGAGGTTATCACACGAAGCGAGTAGGAAGATTATCGAGGATTTATTTAATTGACAATCAAATACTACATAATTGGACATTAAATACCAAAGATAGTTTGTTGAACTTTAAGACGAACTTCAAACTTGATTTTTCTGTCAACATTTCCCTCTTTGAGAAAATTCGCTCAATACATTACTCACCTGTTACTTTCAGACGCGCAATTTCGATTAGGCACACGTCACCCAACGTAAAACGCGGAACGTCTCCGTCATGCAGTGCTTCCTCTGAGGCTGGCTCAACGGGCAGTTAATACCTATCCACGAGGAAAGGAGGCGTGCCAGACATTGGAGACAGGGAAATTATATATTTATAGTAATTTACGTAATAAGAACGGAAAATGTTACATCACGAATGGAAAGTTTCCCACGGAGGCGACGTTAGGAGCCGAGGCTGGATTCCTAACGAGTAATGTAACATATTCACCCGTGTGTCGTAACGCCTTTTATTTCATACTATGCCGCATTTCCTTACTTTTATTTTAAGTTCTTATTGCAATACTTCACGATGTACGAGTGTCAATAACGAATTGCCCACGGTGCTAGAGCCTCCTAGATTCTTGATGTCTGTGAAATAATTGCAATGTTCTGAACATTTTAAAAGGAATTTAAAATATGAAGAGATGCTTTTTTAAAATTTGTTGCGTTTATACACGCGTCTCCTACCTCCTTTATGACCTTTATTGTGGAAATCGATAATAGATTAATGCAATGAAGCAACTAACATAATAATACCACAGAAATCGGAAGAAAGTATTAAAAAATATGAAAAAAATTGTTTCTGAAAAAATACAAATAATATTAACATGGTTAATGAGAATATTAAGTCGGCTTACTTATCAGACTTTCCTCTCTAAGTCTCTCATCGTATGGTACTGTTATCTAACTTTTTCATGAATGGTTGTAAGTTACTTTTTCATTATTGTGATCAACTACATCGTTGGTACTGGCCATGGATTTATAAAACAAGTCAGAATCTTGGTACCAAATTACCGAGTTCATAAGTTGGTATACGATTTTATTACGGTACAGTGTACCGTAAAGTCAAAAAAATCGAAAATTCATGAGAAAACGTATGACATTAGAGAAAATTAGTCATACATTCATATTATATATATACATGTTATACAATGTTATACATTCATATTGTACATTTTGTTGTGTTCGTGCAGGTATTACTGATGTCACATTTCTCGTTTAACAAACTGATCTTTATTTTAACATACCTTTAGCTGAATACAAAGTGACAAGAATAACATCTGTGTTGGCGTTGGCCGTGGACACGACTGCGGAAAAAACGAGGTACGACTACCGATGGTGCATCATAGATGGCGACACTGACGAGGCGTGTTTACAACACATTTATAATGATGAAATTGAATTAATTAAAAATTTGTCGTTTGAATATATCTATCTTTAGTAATATTAATGAATACTTAAACTTGCATTCGAGATTTAATGCCTCCGACGTGGACTGACGTTTTGGTGATTTTTGAATTTTGCATCACTGCAGTAGTGTCTGAAGCCTCCTCCTGTTCCTCTTCGAGTTGAATGCTGGCAGATGTTGGCGATCCACGTCCTCTTTCTTCGTTTCTGAAGCTACGACACACGGTACTCGT